TGGCTGTATCGGAAGCGGGGAAAGATAAAGTAAGATTTAATTTAAAGTCCAAAGGACAAACTATTGGAAAGACAAAGTAAGAAATAAAGAAGTATTGCACAGGGTGAAAGAAAAAAGGCAGATATTGAATGCTACAGAAAGTAGAAGAGGAAAAATGTTAGGGCACTTGATACGACATGATGAATTTTTGAAACTAATTATTGAGTGGAAGATAGAAGAAAAGATGGCGAGAGGAAGACCAAGGCACAGCTACATCAAGCAAATTAAAGACAGAATTGGAGTCGTGTCGTATCAAGGCTTGAAGAGTATGATGGAAGATCGTAGAAAGTGGCAAGAGCTCCACCGACAAGAGCGTAGCTCTTAAGTTTATAAATGAATGAGATACGTTCATCATCCAGTATAAAAGTAAAATTATACCAATCATACAAAAAAAGACGCATACAAAACTAGTTATTTAGAAATTTAAACGATTACGATTTAAAGTACAAATCCTGGTAAACATGTACATCAAGAACTACGACTAATCTTAAAGTGTAGTAACATTGAAGTATTACACTTGTGTTTACGTCGCGTATATTTTATTTCCCTCCGACGCTGCACTTTTATTCCACTAGTCAAAGAAACAAATCCTTCTCAAAGATAAGTCCACTGTGATACCGTCGTCGATCTTTTTTGTTTTGTTATGTTTTCCTAAACAAATAACATTGTATAAAGGAATAATCTTTACAAAAGGCCTCTCGAATGTTAGCATATTATTGTATAATAAATGTAAAGAGCAATAGGTTTGGTTGTTTGTATTATATATCTTATAGAAATTGGTGTATTTTTAGTAATAGAAATATAGATATAGAAGTAATCTTTATTCAAATAAACTTAATATAAGCACTTGTAAATAGTCAAGTTTTTTTATTCTACCGCTCATTCGGAATGCAGACTCATCACAAGAAGAACCTGTCCTAAGAGCTATGTGCTCTGCCCATTGCCACTGTAATTCTTCGTACATTCTTTACAAGTAAACCCGTATAAATAACATATATAACAGCGACGTAGTCCGACTGTCCGCCGACACCTTAAGGCCGTGAACTTGGCTAGTGAATTGGGCTCACCTTGAGTTAGCGTCATAACTTTCCAAATAAATTCGTGATATGCTGCGCTGACCTTATATATATATTTCCACCACTCCACAATTCCTTTCAGTCATTCAAAGGTTGACTGGAAGAAATCCCTCATTTGGGATAAGTCCGCCATTGTACAACTTATTTTTTAAGATCGTTATATCCTTAGTTAATTTAAATGTATTTACAGTACAATAAAGTGTTACAAACAAACATTTTTACAAAAATGGCTTAAAACTAAAACGTTTAAGCAACCACAGGAGACTGATTTACGTAGTGATCTATCAACGCACAGCCCAAACCACTGGACGGATCGGGCTGAAATTTAACATGCAAGTAGATGTTATGACGTAGGCATCCGCTAAGAAAGGATTTTGATTAATTCCATCCCTAAGGGGATGAAATAGGGATGAAAGTTTGTATGAAATTTTGTCAATTTTAAACCAATCGGGCTGAGACTTTGCATGCATAAAGCTACTATGACGTAGGCATCCCCTAAGAAAGGATTTTGATAAATTCCACCCCTAAGGAGATAAATTAACGCGAGCGAAGCCGCGGACAAAAGCTAGTCTATTTATATATTTATATATTGGTGCCATGAATGATGTAATATTCAATAAAGTATAATGTGATGGCCTGATAGCCGCCACCCGCCGTCTCTCTCGTGGAAAACTTTCTCATCCACCTAATCGAATATTATTGTTAATGTTCAGGTGGATCCCATGCGTAATAAATCATTAACCATCAAAAGAACTTTCCTGTTACGAAGTTACGTTGGAGTAATGGCTTCGGAGCTGAAGATCGGGAGTACAAAGGTACTTAATCATTACACCTATTCTTTATCTTATTTAATTGATGCTAGGCCCATATTATAAATAGCTTATAGACTAACATACATAAGATGAGATATTGCATCTCTGTGCATTTTCTACCGCATATATCACGGGGAGTGTTCTGAGGAATTGTTCGGATTAATACCAGCTGCTGAGTTTCAACACCGTACCACCCGCCAGAAACTAAAACACCATCCTGATCGTCTGGATGAATGGCGGTCCTCACAGTGCAATATAAATATACACCAAAATTAACATTTTTTATAATTTTCGGTCGCTGTTTGTTCCGGCTAATCTCTGAAATGGCTGGACCGATTTTGACGGGACTTTTTTGGCATGTAGCTGATGTAATAAGGAGTAACTTAGCCTAAGTTACTTTTATTTTAGAAAAATAAGGTTAAATTCCACGCGGACAAAGTCGCGGGTGCAGCTAGTAATATTATATTTTTATCAATTTCTAGAAAAAACATTATTCTCTTGTTTAAAACTCGCATCAATATTTATTATTTTATTCAAATTAACGGCTATAAAGTACGTTCTAGTACATTATGATAATGTATGCGTAATAAAATTAAGTAAACTGAATTATAATATATATATATATAACATACTAAATATATTTACACTATAGAAATAATCTTACGAACTTTATATAAGCACTTTTGACTTTCGAGGTCGCGGGTTCGATTCCTCGCACGGCACAAACATTTGTATTCATGAGTATGATTGTTTGTATCGGTCTGGGTGTTTTCTATATATAATATGTATGTATTTACAAAAAATATATCTACGTATATGTATCAGTTATCTAGTACCCATAATACAAGCTTTAGCTAATTTAACTTGTGTCTAGATGGCGCTGTGTCAATTGTTCTTAGATTATTATTAATTTATTTATATATATTTTTATTCTACCACTTATTCGCAACGCCGACTTATCACAAGAAGAATGAGCACGAATCTTGCGTGTTACTCTTTTAAATAAATAATAATAAGTGTATATCATTACATAGTATAAAATAAAATCGCTGTCGCTGTCTGTCCGTCCCTATGTATGCTTAAATCTTTAAAACTACGCAACGGATTTTGAAGCTGTTTTTTTTAATAGTGTGATTCAATAGGAAGGTTTATATATAATACATGTACACCCGTGCGAAGCTGGGGCAATAACTAGTAGTCTATAATTTAAAAAGATATTATGTAAATTGGGTGAAATATAATGAATTTTAAGTGTGATGCATACGAAGTTGCGAGCAACTAGTATAATATAAGATTAATTATTTGTGTTAAATTGTTTTTATTTTGATAAGGAAGAGTGTTTTTAAATGAAATAGAAATAGAAATAGAAATAGAAATAGAAATAATCTTTATTTGCATTACAAGCACTTTTGAATAGTCATATTTTGATTCTACCACTCATTCGGAATGCAGAATGAAACTGTGACCTCTTCTCATGAAGCGTTTATTGCAACAACTTAACGTTTTTTAAATTACATAGCGGTGGAGTATCCACCCTTTTTATTGGTGCTCATATGTGTCGCGTGATGAGCGGTGCTTCTCACTGGTCGATTCACTGATGCCGTCATCGACCAGTGGTGGTTGAGGATGGCGCCTGTGACTTTGAGCATTATACTACTCACAGCAGATTTGCTACTACTGTTTTAACAATTTGTGAAGTAGAAATATTGGGTAAACAGTAGTGGCTGAGCGGCGGCGTGGTCACGGGGCTGGGCCTGTTCACAGCGCTCCACTTAACAAAACACCCATTAGTACAGTAACTAGAAACGCAAACTGTGTCCCGTGCTCCTCCCGGTACTCCTGTACTCAACACCCCTCAATTTACATACACACTATTCCTATTGAGCCGATCACATGGACGTTCGGTTCTGTTGAACATAATCACATTTTGGTGAAATTCTGAGTACACTGTTAATGATATCGGTACATAATATATTAGTTACATCTAAATATATAACTCAAAGGTAACTGACAGTGATCTATCAACGCACAGCCCAAACCACTGGACGGATCGGGCTGAAATTTGGCATGCAGGTAGATGTTATGACGTAGGCATCCGCAAAGAAAGGATTTTGAATAATTCTACCACCAAGGGGATATAATAGGGGATGAAAGTTTGTATGAAACTTTGTCAGTTTTATACCGATCGGGCTGAGACTTTACATGCATAAAACTACTATGACGTAGGCATCCCCTAAGAAAGGATTTTGATAAATTCCACCCCTAAGAGGATAAAATAGGGGATGAAAGTCTGTATAAATCTTCTTAGATTTTCGACTTATTTGAACTGAAATTAAAGATTGGAGCTACTATGATGAAGATTTTGATAAATTCAACCCCCGTGGGGATAAAATAAGGCATGATACGGGATGTAAATGTATTAGTTTGAACCTATCAGTACCTAATGGAACGAATAAATTAAGACGAACAAAATAATTTTTAGTTCTTTAGGCTACTTTTATTTTAGAAAAATAAAGTTAAATTCCACGCGGACGAAGTCGCGGGAAAAGCTAGTACTACATACATGTAGTATTAGTTTTAGGGGGGTGACATGTGCTTTTAGTTTGTACCGCAGCCCCTAAATATCAAAGAACTAAAATAAAATATTTGCTATGATTTTGTTGTAGGCGCCGATAAATATATATTTCTGTTCAAAATCTACCCTGTATCATCGTAAGCACAGATTATTATATTAGAGTCCGTTAGTTTTCTGTTCCCGCGCTTTTACTTCCCCTCCCTTACCTAGTACTGAACCGACTGTACGGCGGCCATGACGCGCGCGCATTGTGTTGTGAATTAAAATAAATTAGAACTGTGAAACCTACTGTGAAACTGGAAAGCTAGCGAAGATATCTTCGAGCCCCTGAAGCCCAAGAAATCCGCAGAACCATACAGGTACGTGACTGACGCTTCCACTCATTTTTCACTATATATATACAGAGAGTAAATTCCCTAACATTTTGGTAGCAGAGTAGTTTCCCAAACAATTTCTTTCTCTCTTGGTTTCTTTGTGAATGTTGTGTGTGAGTGGTACCTTTGATGAGGTGTGCGGCGAGTACCAGCACGGCGGTGAGCGCGTGCAGTCGCCACCCGCACGCGCACATGGTCGCGCACGCTCCACTACCGCGCGCTCTGAAACAACACCGAACACATCAGCATATCAACAGCTTACAATCTCACAAGTTGCATTATAATATAATAATAATGTCGAGACAATTCACTATGTATAATATGTATGTGTTTATGAAAAAAATCAATGTATTTGTATCAGGGATGTTAGGGAGCTTCGTAACCGTAACCGAATCCGAAATAAAGGTTTCGGATAATATCGGATAGGGGCGGAGCCTAATTGAGACACGTTATGTAATCATTTTATTAGCTATTTGTATTTTACTTTAGAAATTCATTAAAAATGAATATCCGAAAATCATTTCGGATAATCCGAAATAATTTCATATCCGCATCCGTATCTGTATCCGGTATAATGATCATTCCTATATCCGAAACCTATCCGTATCCGAAATTTCATATCCATAACATCCCTGATTTGTATCAGTTATCTAGTACCCATAACACAAGCTTCAGCTAGCTTAACTTGGGTATAGATGGCGCTGTGTGAATTGTCCTGATATTATAACATAATTGCATGACAACATTTTTTTCACATCATTGTTACATAAATATAGAACATACGCGTTTGTCCAGTTGAAGGATTGTCTCGCATTTAAAAAAGAATGTACATAACATTGTTATTGTTATGACACGTTTATATTCAGGGGGGTGTCGTGACCGGTACAATAAAAAGGCGATTATTATCAAAACCAACCGTAATGTCTGCACAGTGAAAGCCTTCGATATATAACAGTCGTAAACCGCGCTATTAACTCGAGTGTACTCTACACTACCCACTAATGACGTCACAAACTCCGCGCTGTAATAAGATATTTAGATTTAATTCCATTGTTCAATAATTCACTTTTAATTGGTCTAACTCGTGAAGTTTATATATACTAGAATAGAACAGAATAGAAAATCCCTTATTCAAATAAACTTAATTTAATCACTTTTGAATAGTCATAACATTTTTTTTAATCTACCGCTCATTCGGAAAGCTGTCTCATCACAAGAAGAACGAGCAAGAAACTTGTGTGTTGCCCTTTTAAATAATCATTGTAAGTTTACATTTACAAGTCGAAACGTGTGAATACAAACTACCAACCAGCACTAATTTTTTTGGGTCAAATATAAATATACAATAAGATTAAATCAGTCGCAGTGATAAGAGCAGACCAGTTCCTACAAGCAGCACTTGTTCACGAGTATGACGTATGAGCCAGCCATCATTGCGCTCGATCATATTTTAGTCCAATCAACAAAAAATAGATTATCCAATCAAGATTCGATTTACGAGTAATATCTTATATATAAAATTCTCGTGTCACAATGTTACGATCCAAATCAAAGAATTCAAAGCCTCTGAAACGGGTTGAACGATTTTTATGAAATTTCATATGCATATTCAGTAGGTCTGAAATCTATTATTTATTCTTCATACCCCTAAGTGATAAGGGTTGTCCACCGGTAAAATATTATAACAATAGAAATTTCTGTTTAATTAAAATTACATATATTTAAAATTGTAATTGTATACGTGCTGTATCTTTAAAAAGAATTTTCTCGAGCACGTTGTGAAAAAAAAAAATGTTTGCTGACTGTCGTGTGAATACAAAACAATAATCACATCTGTCACTAAGGTAAAAATAACTGAAACATCGAGCTGTACGTGATGTCAGAATGGCAGGCACATTCTCGTGTCACAATGTTAGTTACCAGCACCGTGACAGTCGGCTGTCACAGCATGTTTTTCTTTCTTTCTTCTTTCCTTAATATATATTTTTAATTTTTTGGGCAAAAAATTTCTTTATATTTTTAATAAACCCTAAATTTTCACCCTTCTAGCATCAATCCCTATTTAATAGCGATTTTAATTTATATAATAATAATAATACCAGGACAATTCACACAGCGCTATCTAGATCCAAGTTAAGCTAGCTAAAGCTTGTGTTATGGGTACTAAGACAACTGATACATATACATAGATATTTTTTTTTGTAAATACATACATATTATACATAGAAAACAGCCAGACCGATACAAACAATCATACTCATGAATACAATTGTTTGTGCCGTGCGAGGAATCGAACCCGCGACCATCGGTCGTAAAGCTAGACCACCGAGGTCGTCTCCGAGGTAATATGGCAAAACAACGTTTACCGGGACAGCTAGTACTATTATATAATTGAGAAGTTGCGGAAAAATAAGTGTATACTAAACCCGGTGACGTCCACAAACCGCTTATAAATATGAATTTCTCGGCACAACGGGCCGGCAAATGCGTATTCTCATCAGTTTTCACTGAGCACGGCTCAGTACAAAGAATTATTTTGTCTGAGCGGACTCAGCACACGTACGACCGCTCCCAAGAATACAGAATACACGAATATACGAGCGCCTTCCTTTGTGCTTGTACGAGTGTAAGCCCGGTATTGTGTTACGACCACATCGCCATTTGTATGGCCGTGTATGTATTGCTGCAGTCGTACATTATGCTTCTGATGATATAAATCGTTTGTCACGATAATTTGTTAGTACTCGTAGCTGGGGACACGGTTAGGTTTCGCATGCTTGTACTACTCCCGAAGGATTTGAATGTATTATATGAACATTCTGGAAGAAATTCTCATTATAAAAAATAACTATATTAAAATCTGTTTCTTAGATTTGAAAAACTACGTATAGAAATAGACAAATTAATTATAGTAATATCTAAAATATTAGATTTTATTTTAGTTTAATATATGTTATAAAGAACATCATATCACATAGATATTTACGGTAAGAGTGATTACTTTAGTCATCTTGTCAACAAACTGTCTTTGAGATTCTGTATTACCGCAAATATGTACAACATTTATTTAAAAAAAATACGAGCTGAGTTTCTTGTCAGTTCTTCTCATCTCGAAATCATTCCGAACTGACGGTAGATTTGACATATCATAAGAGTCTGTAATAGACTACATGAATAAAGATATTTTGAATTTTGAATTAGAATTTATTTATTGTTATTTATACTCTCATATATCTTAGAAGAGAAGAACAGATACCTATTTGGGTTATAGTTTTAAATTATAAAATAATTTTTATTAAAATATACTATATTATATTAATGTTTCTTCTATTCCATCTTGCGCCATTCACCACCTTCTGTCTTATTGGCAGAGTCACGCGAAAAGAAAAAAAATCTGCTCTACCCAAAGTAGAATAGTTTTTTTTTCTTTTCGCGTGACTCGTTATTTATTTATTTGTACATCTTTTCTACGTTATAGTTGCCAGAATTTTTTTTTGTTACGTTCTATCTGCTGTTGCTATTTCATTGTCAGACTCTTAAGTATGTTATATGATATGTATATGGTATATTTAGGTATATATTTTATTCATATTTATCTATAGCTTTATATATATTGTATGTATTTGTATATGTATGTTTACATGTACTTACTATTAGTAAATATATATTATTTATGACATAGGTATTATGTTTCTTATTGATTACATTTGCACCGCCTACAGTTTCTGTGCACAGCCTGTGGTTGACTGGTAGAAAATGCCGTAAGGCGTTAAGTCCGCCATATGTACTTTTACCTTGGTATTTTTTTCTATTTATTATTTTTATTGATCCATATATAAGAGCCTACTGATATCTATCTCCACTATGGGCCTACATATTGCATTATTTACTGTCGCAAGTCTATTTTGCGGCTCAAAGCGTCCAGTAAAATGTGGAACCGTTCATTCGCGCTTCGTCTCTTGACAGAATTGCTTTCTCAATGACAGGAAGCGAATATCTTTCGGGGGAAATGGACGATTCGCTGTCGGGAATTCAACTGCTCGCCGAAAAGGAAATTAAATATAAACAACATCTATGAATTCTGTTTGTATTCGCTTTGCAAATACGAATGTACATTATTTATCGAGGGATACGTTTTACGGAATTATAAATTGTAAGGGAGCTCTCGCAAAGCCTCTCGCTGCTACAGCCCACATTCCGCAACTTGAGGCGAGTAAGGGGAAACGGAGACTAGATATTTATTATTTCGCAGCTCAGAATTTAAATTAAACACTAATCTTGTGAGATCATGAGAAACCTTTCGATGAGGATTTGAAAAAGCGGAAATTGTAAGCTAAAGATAGAGCCTAATATACGACTTCGCTCGCGTTAATTTATCCCCTTAGGGGTGGAATTTATCAAAATCCTTTCTTAGGGGATGCCTATGTTATAGTAGCTTTATGCATGCAAAGTCTCAGCCCGATCGGTTTAAAATTGACAGTTTCATACAAACTTTCATCCCCTATCTTATCCGCTTGGGGGTAGAATTAATAAAAATACTTTCGTAGCGGATGCCTACGTCATAACATCTACCTGCATGCCAAATTTGCCGGCTTCACCCGCGTTTATATATATATAAACCTTCCTCTAGAATCACTCTATCTAATAAAAAAAACCGCTTCAATATCCGTTGCGTAGTTTAAAAGATTTAAGATTTAAGATTTAACACATAGGGACGGATAGACAGCGACAGCGACTTTGTTTTATACTATGTAAAGATTCTATCGATGAAAAAGAACCAGAAATCCGTTTAATATTAATTAGGTTTAATATTAAACGGATTTCTGGTTCTTTTTACACACAAAAATGTTATCAATCAAGGAACTCATCCTTTTTAAAGTTGGTTGATATATAATACCGTACGTCCGGCGGTCCGTGTGTGAGCGTAGGTCACCAAGTGTCAGCACTCCTTTTTGTTCCCTGGATGTCGTTGCTGACGACGATGGGAACAAAGCATAATACACTTGTGTTATAAAGTTGCCGCTTCACAGAGATTCGCAGCGAAATTTTTCACAAAGGAATCTCGTCTGTGACGTCTGTTGAGCTATCGAGTTGCACCTTTATCTCCAACAAATTGTATGACGCTACAATATATAGGTATATATTGTTACCGTCATACAATTTGTTGTAGACGCTAACAATATATACATAACAATATACACATTGTGGAATCACCTTCCAGC